CGGTGCGCTGCCAGATGGGCTTCCTCTATTTGGCCAAAACGGGTGGCAAGTAACGAAACCAAATAGCGTACGTGAAATTAATTGAAGCGGGACCAAACGAAGCGGGACGAAACCAAGAATATCACCTGCCTTTAATAGTAGGTATAGATTTGCTTACTTGAGAGCCTAGAGTTGTATAGCTTAATTTGTTTTCAGACTTCACATTCCCGTCAATTGGTAATATAAATTTGTCACGGAGCATATGATAGGTGATGAATTCCTTCTCATCTCTGATAAGAAACTTCAGTAGAAAGCAGGTAGGCCTACCCCTGAAGCCTTAAACAAACTCTTGCCTCCTTAAGTTTGTGCAATTTCAGCCTGCTTTTAAATTCCGAGTGGCAGTTTGTTCAGTTAAAAAATGAAAATCATGTTTTACTACAAAGATAAATGCATATGTATTGCTGACAACCTCTCTTGAAAAGTTAATTCACTAAGTCAGCTACATATGACACGCTCTGAAAACTAGGATGTAGTATCATGCATGGTGTTTAATTCGTTGTAGAGTCGCACTACATGATTGTACAATCTATTATCTGCTACTTAATTTCCGTGTCTATCTTGTGAGAGGGATCTAATACGCCTCCGTCCTCTCTATAATTTTTGATTGTTCCATGCCAATATTCTACAACTTTCATATACTTTTGGCAACTTTTTATACTATTTTTGGGACTAACATATTGATCCAGTGCCCAGTGCCAGTTCCTGTTTGTTGCATCTTTTTTTGTTTCACAGAATATCCATATCAAACGGAGTCCAAACAGGATAAAATCTGACAGAGATTTTTTTTGGAATATATATGATTTTTGGGAAGAAAAATCCACGTGAGACGATGCCCGAGGGGGCCACGAGGCAGGGGGCGCGCCCCTGACCCTCGTGGCCACCCCGTAAGGCGGTTGATGCCCTTCTTTCGCCGCAAGAAAGCTAATATCCGGATAGAGATCATGTTAAAATTTCAGCCCAATCGAAGTTACGGATCTCCGGGAATATAAGAAACGGTGAAAGGGTAGAATTTGAGAACGCAAAAACAGAGAGAGACAGAGAGACAGATCCAATCTCGGAGGGGCTATCGCCCCTCCCATGCCATGGAGGCCAACGACCAGAGGGGAAACCCTTCTCCCATCTAGGGAGGAGGTCAAGGAAGAAGAAGACGAATGGGGCCCCTCTCCTCTTCTCTTTCGGTGGCGCCGGAACGCTGCCGTGGCCATCATCATCACCGCAATCTTCACCAACAACTTCACCGCCATCATCACCAACTCTTCCCCCCTCTATGCAGCAGTGTAACCTCTCTCTTACCCGTTGTTATCTCTACTTAAACATGGTGCTCAACGCTATATATTATTTCCTAATGATGTATGGATATCCTATGATGTTTGACTAGATCCATTTTGTCCTAATGGTTATTTGATGATCGTGATTGGTTTGAGTTGCATGTTTTATTATTGGTGCTGTCCTATGGTGCTCTCTGTGTCGCGCAAGCGTGAGGGATCCCCGCTGTAGGGTGTTGCAATACGTTCATGATTCTCTTATAGTGGGTTGCGTGAGTGACTGAAACACAAATCCGAGTAAGGGGGTTGTTGCGTATGGGATAAAGAGGACTTGATGATTTAATGCTATGGTTGGATTTTACCTTAATGATCTTTAGTAGTTGCGGATGCTTGCTAGAGTTCCAATCATAAGTGCATATGATCCAAATAGAGAAAGTATGTTAGCTTATGCCTCTCCCTCATATAAACTTGCAATAATGATTACCGGTCTAGTTATCGATTGCCTAGGGACAAATAACTTTCTCGTAACAAAAAGCTTTTTACTAAAACTAACTTAGTTGTGTCTTTATCTAAACAACCCCTACTTTTTATTTACATGCTCTTTATTACCTTGCAAACCTATCCAACAACACCTACAAAGTACTTCTAGTTTCATACTTGTTCTAGGTAAAGCGAACGTCAAGCATGCGTAGAGTTGTATCCGTGGTCGATAGAACTTGAGGGAATATGTGTTCTGCCTTTAGCTCCTCATTGGGTTCGACACTCTTACTTATCGAAAACTATTGCGGTCCCCTATACTTGTGGGTTATCAGGATCCAGGTTGGATTTTACGTGTATCTTTCTAATTGCTCAAGTTGCATATTGTTAAATACATCAATATGTTTTTACCACCAGTTGGCCATTTAAGCCTCTCTCTGTATCCACCTTTGCGTAGCATTAGATAAGGATCCAGGTTTCTGCTGTCGACATTGTGCTATTAGTGATGTACAATGAGCAATTACTCTGCTCTTGATACATACCTATTCTTGTGGAGTGTCAATATTATCTTTTTTATGTGACTTTCGGTCCACACTTTGGTATCCACTAACATGAGAACTAGGAATATGCTTGCTTGCAGTTTGTGTACTGCCCGCAATTTTACAAGAGGGAGAAGCTGCACGAACGCAGCAAGGCAACCAGTATGGCACGGCTACGGATGAAGCTGGGTGGCGCAGCAGTGTCGTTGATCGCGGTTGTGTCCAGGGGAGAGCCGAGGCATGGATGCAGCTGCTTGCGGCACGGCCGTACGCCTACTTGGGTAGTTGGCTTACAAGCATGGTTGGGGCGTGGCGGCACACTTGGCAAAATCATGAAGAATTTTCTTACTGGTGCTCCAATTATGCTCTCCACTGAAGAATCATGTGCATCTGTTGTAGGTCAGTTCTGCTATTTTCTCCAGCAATGCCGCTTTACATTGATGGTTCATGTGTTCAAAGTTTAGGTGTCTGAAGCTTGTTGCAATACTGTGTTATCACCAGTTCAAAGCTTGCTTTGGTCTTGATTGTAAAATAACAGTTATTTTATCTATACAATATTCTTAGACAAGGCTAGCCTTCTTCCCCTGTTCAAGGATTCAAAATTCACGTTACACTTTAAAAGCCTAAAAGGTGTATTATAGCATGAAACCTCAAAAGCTATTTACCGGTTCAACAACTATACTATCCTGCTAATTTCACAGTTTTAGTTTCATCAGTCGTCACATGAACATATACACTATTTGTCTTTGGCTAGATCTGGATTGGTTAGTTGACCATTTAAGTATGCTTTTGGATCTTTCTTATCGCTTTTATTTCTCATGGGTTATGCAACATGCACATTGGTGTCACATTTTTTAGATGTGATCCTAATATGTTACCTTATAATCCCTTTCGTGACCAGTCAGTTCAGTCTGATGGATGTTTTATTTATCTTGGAATTACAAGGAAAAGGATTACTTTTTTTTGGTAAATATTATTTCAGAATCTTGCTGGCTGAAGAATTCAGCTGAAAAGGTATGTCATTTAGCTCTTATTCTATTTCCCACTATTTGTGTTTATTGTTCTTTTTTGCCGGTGCAAACATGGATACAGAGCATTTGTATTTGCCAAGCATTGTGTAAATATTGTGGCCAATTTGTCATACGTTTGGCAAATAACAAAGCGGAACAAAGCTATTAGTCTTTGCAAGTTGTAGTGCAAAGAAATCTTTGCACCTGGTCACATGGTTAGGATATATTTACTCCTAGCAATAGTTCAAATAAAATCCAGACAACAATGACTACGGGCTGTGATTAATTTGAGTAGAGGAAGCTGGGGAGCAGGACTGAAATTGTTCTTGCTGATGGTCCAAGCTGCAACATACTTAACATGAAGCTGGTACATGTTGTAGGAAATCAGGGATTATTGTTCGTTTATACCAAAATTGTTGCTTCCTAACATACATGCTTGATAGCTTGTCTGAGGCCTCATAATTTTAGGTGTACATCTAGATGTCCAACGTTTTGAAGTGGACAAAAAAATCATATTGCATTACATTTAACAGTCCGCCACAAACTACACAGTTATTTGGTGATAAGTGATGACCCAGAACCATAGTAGCGCGCCAAAAATTATTGTCACGGCAAAGCATGCACGGTTTCCATAACACGACCATCCGCATGTCGGTAGAAAAATAGAAATTGCAAGGCACGGGGAAGAACGAAGAACAGAAGTTTGGACCAAAAAATAAAAAGAAAGAAATAATATTCTGATGGATCCGTGACCAATAAAATGCTTGAGAGAAATTAGCGTGAAAAAATGCCTTGAGAGAAAACGGCGCGATAAGGCGCGTGTTTGCCTCTAGTATGAAACATATCCTTATCCCATATGAATTTTCATTGATGACAGCACGAATGGAAAGAAATTGTAAAGAGATTTTAGTATAAACATATCCAAAGCCGGTTGATAAGTTTCCAAAAAAACCAATCGATCAAGAGTGCGTTTCCTGCCTATTTTGTATCCTCTAATGTGTCAGGACATGCTTTCACACCAACGTTCAATATTTAGACGGAATACTAGTACACACCAGAATAAGGCGTCAATAAATCTTTGCCTTTTTCATTCCTCATTCTAAATAGATTGACACATGAAACATACCGGTATATATATGCCCATATATGCATTCAAAGATTCATCGAGCAAACAAGCAAACACTCCAGCCTACCATTGCACCCATCCCACAACTTTGTCAACTATTCTCTTTGAAATGGAGAATGTTGTAGTGTTGATTGTTGGCGCTGGGCCAGCAGGCCTTGCAACAGCAGCATGCCTTAGCCAATTCTCAATTCCCTATGTCATTGTCGAGCGTGAAAGTTGCAACGCGTCGCTTTGGCGCAACCGCGCCTACGATCGCCTCAAGCTGCATCTTGCAAAGGAGTTCTGTGAGTTGCCACACATGTCATACCCACTAGATGCTCCAACATACATACCAAAAACCTTGTTTGTAAAGTACTTAGATGACTATGTTGAGCATTTCAATATTCAACCCAAGTATCTCACTAGTGTGGAGTCATCCACATTTGACAATGACGAAAAATGTTGGTCCATCGTGGCACATGACATGGCAAAGAGCACAATAGTCAGGTTCACATCAAAGTTTCTTGTTGTGGCAAGTGGTGGGAATAGTGCAGAGAATATTCCAATGATCCCCGGACTGCAAAGTTTTCCGGGTGATGTCATCCACTCCTCAAGCTACAAGTCAGGCAAGAGCTACTCTGGCATGAATGCATTGGTCGTTGGATCTGGCAACTCTGGAATGGAAATTACTTATGACCTTGCGGCCCATGGTGCCAATACTTCAGTTGTTATACGAAGCCCGGTATGTCCACGCACTATATATTATTTTTGACCTGGAAACAATAGGGAATCCCCCACCCCCACCCTACGGGCACTATATATTTTCGGTGGGTACATGGCAATTTCTTATTATAGCCACCATTAGAAGGATGCGACTTTTTAGAGTTATTACTAGAAAGTATTTCATGGTATAGAGCGATAAACTATTTTATAACATGCACAAACAACTAAGCAATTAGACGAACTACACTGAAAATTTAACTCTTGAAAGAAGATGATTCTATGAAATTTTATTCGATGATGCAGGCTTCAAAAGAGATGTGACAAGTTTTGTGGTTGCAGATTCATGTAATGACAAAGGAATTAATCCGGTTGGGGATGACACTTGCTCGCCGCCTTCCACTGAATCTAGTGGATAAACTCCTTGTGATGGCGGCAAATTTAATATTTGGAGACCTATCGAGGTATGGCATCAGAAGGCCAAAAATGGGTCCAATGATCGTCAAGTCAAAAACTGGCCGATCCGTTGTTATTGATGTTGGCACTGTTGGGTTAATCAAAAAAGGTATCATCAAAGTAAGTATATTCTTGACAAGACGTAGATTTCATAACATATGTTGTCTTTGTATGCCAAGTTATCAATATTCTATTCATCTCCTACAGGTACAGGGGAGCATTAGTAAGATCATGGGCGATATAGTTGAATTTCAATGCAGTAAAAAGATATGATTTGACGTGATTGTGTTTGCAACTGGATACAAAAGCACAGCAAATATATGGCTCAAGGTAACAACATCGATGATTGAATATGTCTGAGTTTTTTTCTTGGTGCAACAATTGTCAAATCTCCTAACAAGCTCTATATTTTTTTATCCCAGAATGGTGAGAGCATGTTAAATGGCAATGGACTGCCCATCAAAGAATATCCAAATCATTGGAAAGGTGAAAATGGGCTCTATTGTGCTGGGTTAGGAAGGAGAGGATTGGCTGGTATTGCAGCAGATGCCAAGAATATTGCCAATGACATCAAATCAGTGATAGGCGCTATGTCCGACTAAATTATCAAATCAGTGAATGCGTCTTCGACAACGCGGTGCCTTCCATCACTGGGCTCCTCAACAAGATCAAGGATGAGATCCGATGATGGGCTAAGGCAGGGGCACAAGGCCTGCAGGTTGTTCTGCACCAATCCTGGGATGTCCACTGAGTTGTATGATGTACTGTAAAATTAACCTCCTAGGAGGACTATAACTTTCCCCCATCCTTTTAATGCAATGAAATGCAAAGGTCATTTGCGTGTTCGTGATTTGTTTTTTATCTTTTACATGTAGTTTACCTGGGCTAGTGTGCTAGACGGTTGATTCTTTGAAAAATCTATCCACTGCCACCTATCTATCTATCTTCATCTATATTTGATAGAAATAGATTTTTGTTTATTTCAAGGTTCATATGTGCCAGGGAGTAAGCATTACTTTTATAATATAATCAAGGGCTTTATACTCACATTGTGCAAAGAGCTTTGTAATTGTTATTGAACAGTTACCTACAGTATTTTATTTACTTGAATTTACACATGCAAAAGTCATCCCCTTGAACATGATGTTTTACAACAAGGGACTAAGTGCTCGCGAAAATAAACAAGGGACTAAGTGCAATTAATACAAGGACAATGCTACACCTATGTAAACTAATCTATGTACTTTACGTAATGTGCAACGTGGACACTCTGGATTGGATATAGGAGGATTGGGGGGCCCACCTCCCTCAAAATCATACATTTAAGAAAAAGTTCATTGGATTTTAAAAAAATCATGCATGAACTTTTCCAGATTTGTGAACCCTTTTTGAAAACTAGTGAACCTTTTTCACATTAGTGAACTTTTTTACCGAAATTGGTGAACTTTTTATAAACTAGGAACCTTTTTTCAAAATGCGGTGAACTCTTTCGAAATTTGCGAACTTTTTTAATCTAAATTGGTGATTTTTTAAATCCATGAAGTTTTTTCAAATCCGTGAACTCTATTTCAAAATTTGGTGAACTCTTTTCAAATTTGTGAACTTTTTTTATCATAATCGATGAACCTTTCTTAAATCCATGAAATTTTCTCAAATCCGTGAGATTTTTTCAAAATTCAGAGAACTATTTACAAAATTGTGAATTTTTTTATCAAAATCTATGGACTTTTTGGATTTTATGGTTTTGTGAAAATCCGCAAACTGCTTTTGAAATAGATGAACTTTTTAAGAATTCGTGAAATCTTTTTCATATTTATGATTTTTTCCCCAAATAATTTATACGGGGACAGGAAAGATGGTCAAATAGTGTGTTTTTCAATTGATGACACCAAAGCGATGGTCGTGCAGTGGTTAGTCGCTCGTGTTTATAGCGTTGGCATGCTGGTTCATTCCCGTATTTGCAAAATAGTAGCGCAGTATTCACGTTTCTTTTTGGAGCATTTTTGCTAGACGACTGCGATGCTGGGCCGGCCCATTACTGGCTGCCTTCGAGCGCCAGCTAGCCTAAGCGGCGCTGAGAGCGCCGAAGAGGACCTCTCAACTAACGGCGTGGGCTTGGCCCATTCAGATTTTGTTTTGTTTTTCCAAACTTCAAAAACTGGGCAAAAGTAGGTTACAATCTCTCCACCTAATGGATCAAGTCAACTAGGACAACCAACTCGGCCACAACAACTTACGTGTCAATAAACTGTTTTTCCTCTTTTTTGTTATGCGTCTACTATGTAACACTACAACGAAGGCTCTAATTATATTACTTGTGTTTTATTTCGCCAGTTTTTCTACAGTTTTTTTTATTTTCCTTTTTTCTGTTTTCTTTCTCAAAAGCATGAACCTTTTTCAATTATCTAGAACTTGTTTCAAATCTGTGATTTCTTTTCAGTTTTTTGCAAACTGTCTAGTGAACATTTTTTAAAATCCATGAACTTTTTTCAGTTTTTTGCAACTTTTTTTAGTGAACTTCATTTTTTAAATCTGTGAACTTTTTTTAAATCCATGAATTGTTTTTCAAAAAAGGATGAACTTTTTCCAAATACGAGAACTATCGTTGAAAATCCAGATGATTTTTCAAATATGTGATTTTTTTCAAATCCGTGAACTTTTTGGTCCAAATCTATGAAATTTTTTCACACGTGAGAACTTCATTTCAAAACCCATGAACTATTTTTGAATTCCTGAAGTTTTTTCAAATCTGACGATTTAAAAACATGATTTTTTTTCCAAGTTTGTGAACTTTTCAAAATCATGAACAAATTTTGAAATTCATGAACTTTTCCAATTTTATGAACTTTTTTTGAATTAATGTACTTTTTTACAAATTGGTGAACTATTTTCAAATTTATGAACTTTTTTGAATTCAAAAACATTTTCTCAATTCATGCGCTTTTTCGCAGCACGTACTTGCAAGAGAAAATTTTTGGTAGATATTTTTTTGAAAAATATCGCTAGATGGATTGAAGGATTAACTCGGAAGGTGGAGCGAGAGGAGCGATCAAGCAAGCTATATTGGCCACGACCCACTAGGAGAGTGCGTGAGCGCTAGGTAGTCCACTTGGTGCTTAAGGCGCCGACGAGGAGCTCTCGTGCAGGGAGTAGTGTCACACAAACCGACGCACACCCCCTCTTGGCGCCGCCCATTTATTTATTCCATGACCTTGTATGATCAATTAGAGGCATTTTATTGGTCGAATAAATGGTCAGTTGTGTCACAAAATTGCATACAGTATCGTTCAAACCTGGTATGAATGCCTAACATGGGCATGCCCCCCTGCATGCAAAATTAAGGTTGGTTCTCAGGTTTCTAAAAAATACATGTTCAAGCATAGTGTTGAGGTCGGCGAGAAGGGTCCGTTTGGGAGCACCTCATTTCTCGACATCCCTTAAATGGCCCAATTTATTTTCATGGCCTTGTAAGACAAATTGTTGGGCGAGCTTAAAGCACGTTGTTTCATGACATTCTTGGAATGGCCCTAATTTTTTCCATGACCTTGAACACAAATTGCAAACCACATACTTTTGTTACATTTATCCTTTTTGTTTTCTAAAACGCAAACATTTCTTAAAATTGTGAACGAAAAATTCGAAAACCAGAATATTTTCTGAAGGTCATACAAAAGGGAAAAAGGTGTAAAATGGGCAGCCCGGGGAAGGTGTGTGTCAAATTGCTTGCCTCTTTCTTGAGCAGTATATTGCTAGCTAAACTAGCAAGTAAGCACACTAGCTAATTTGAAAAACCGTACTGCTAAAAATCAGTCGACTAAGACTTCCCAAAGTCTCAGTCGACTCGTAGACCATTAGATCTACTACTGCTTTTAGATGTGTGCAAACTGCTTTTAATTGTAAATTGGCCCGTGTAGATGGACGGACTAGTGGGCTGCTTTCGTGCCTTGTTTTTCTTGTCAGCTTTGGGTGGGCTAGGCAGGAGAGTGGCGGGCTTTGAACGGTGTGTCTTTTCTTTTCCCTGCAAAGTTTACAAAGTCTAAGAGTGAAAAGGAAAATAATTCGTACACTGCAGTAGCATCTTTTGTGAGTTTTTCTCCTTTTTCTTTTTCCTAGAATCCGTGTGTGCGTATGTGTGGTTGTTGTTGATAGAAAATATCCCTAAATGTATATTTTTCTATGTAGTTTTTCTAGTGCAGCATCCATTTTTTAGAACCAGAATTTCCTTTTTTCAGATGTGTGTACACGCACACATTTTTGTATAGAACAAGCATCCATGTCTCCTTTTCTAGGTTTTTTAGCTTTGGCTTTGTGTTAAGTATGCCAGTCTAAAAGAAGTATAGATAGAAATATCTAATCCAAAAAAATCTATTTTATGTGAATTTGTTATTCTCAGTCGACCAAGAATTAGCCAAGTCTTAGTCGATTCGGTAGCAATGTGACCTCTATTGTAAGTGTTGCACCAGAATGCAACTCCATGTTTTCAAAGCGACCAAGAATTGGTAAATTTTTGTTTGTTTCATTTTTTCTCTCATGTCCAATAAGTTTGCTTCCATTTTTTTTGGTGATGGGCTGTTTTAGGGTGTGTCTGGCCTGCTCCTTCGTTCCTCTTTATTTTATGCGTGGGCAGGGATGTGTGATAGCCTGGCCTTTTCTGGATTTATTTATGTGTTTTTTATTTT